AGAACAGAAATGGTGCTTTCCAAATGGTGAATATTTGGGGTCAAAGTCCCGACCCGATCCTGTAAAACACAGTTCTCTGTCTGAAGCTTTCTGTTTTGTGATTGTAAGTTCGAAATAGATTAGTCCTTTCTTCTGAATCTTTTGTCCACATTTCGCATGTTGAGCTTTGCCTTAGCAATTTTTTCCTTTTGTTTTGAACACGTGTCCGATAAATGGACTTTTTCACTTTCGAGGAATTTTTCAGCCTTCTGAATTACAGAAAAGTCTTTTTTTAGTTCACTGATTGTTGCTGCACTAGATTCCACTATGCCGAACTTTTCATCTTGAAGCTGTTTTATGATTTCCTTATTAAGTTGGTTCTGCTCAGTCTGACACTTGAGCTGTTCACAAAGTTTGTCAGCTTTCTTGTCTATACGCTGGAAAGCCCGGTTATCGTTCACATGTTCCACGCAACTGTCTCTTTTCTCTGGCACACAAAACTGCTTCAGGTAAAAATTATTTAACTCCTTGAATCTTTTCCCCTTTTTTCTGAACTTCTGAGATCTTTGCTTGCAGGGACTTCCTTCTGTCCAAATCTATAGGTCCATATATTTGTTTAAAAAAGTTCAAGAGAACTCGTTTTTTGTGTCTCTCTCTTTTTAAGCTCACATACGTATCGGTTTACAGGCTGTCGCGTTGTAGTAGATGAAGTCGCCATGACTGGATCAACTGGTTCATGATGATTATCTGAAATAGTAAACCACGAACTGTTTCCTTGTATTACTACACTTGTTATTCTAATTTTTTAAAATATGATCTACCTGTGGAATTAACGTTGTCATGAGCATACCGTCATATAACTATGAAGTGTTTTGTGAACCTTCTTTGTCTAATGCTAGAAATCTAGTAAATAAATAAAAACTGACAGGCCCCCTCCTACATTTCATTACGGTACATTCATTCATGTTACATTATGTAAGCTTAAAAGATTTCCATCAATAACAAATTTCATTTATTAATAAATGGATCTCGACTTAACCTTGCCCAGGGATAGATCTAGACCGCATACCACAATAAATTTATTTAGGCTAGCCTTAGACCCATGGCGGGCTATGGCCACTATGGGTAACAAAGTCTAGACCTAGCCTTTTGTAGAGTATTGTAGTGTAAGTTGCTCACTGATGCAGAAACATTGTATATCATATGCGATGTCATTTGACAGATGAAAATTTTGTGGGGCATCAAAAGTATCAACATCAGACAGCAGAAGTGCTTTGGTTAACCCAGCATCAATTAACGGATGACGAGGTTTTGCAAGGTCTGCACTTATACACCTGTCTACGAACACCTTCATGTCCTCGTGAGTCTCCTGCTCAGAACAATTCATACTTTAAAGTTTTAAATATGATCATGACTAGTTGGACAATGCTCACTACAACAATCAAAACACACAATAAAGAAGTAGTAAACACTACAGAGGGGTATTGATGTTAGCATGTGATGTAGGATACCTCGTAATGATGCTAAACTTTGTCGTTTTTGTAATATCCTACCACGTCGTGGGTACGAGGAAGGATCGATAACAAAACACAGCGGATTAAGCAGAGGTTTAATGGCTCCGTTGCGGCCAGCACTCTCGAAGTTTATAAGTAGTAAAATATTATCAAGACATGCAAAGACAAACAGTAGAAAGAGTCCACAAACAGTAGAAAGGGTTAAGCTTCAAAACAACAATTCATAAATCTGACATAAAACTGTTGTGCTTTGGGGTTTTGATCAAAGGCTTACAACATAAGAAATTATGAAGATAGAGACATGACAAACTCGTGTTGTTCCAGGTGTTACGAAACAGGAAGTTTTTTCTTTTTATTAACTAATTGGCCATGGGTTGGTAGAGAAGGGGGGTTACAATATTTGCCAGTTTGGCCGGACGACACAAACATAATATAACACCTCCCACTGAGCTGGAGGTCACCGACTGCGATAACAAATTAATGTCACAAGTTCATCAATTTCCGAGGCTTTCTTTGCCTCTGGGAACGTCTAGGATTCCCTGGCCCATGTTCACTGACACTGACATGTTGATGATGTCTGATGTGCCTCTTTGCTTCTCTCAGGTCCATGGTGAGGCTGAGCTGGTTCTTGTTCTCTCCGGCGCAGTTATTGCTGTGCATGTGCCGTTCCCCCAAGCACAAAATGAGAGAAGTAGTGCTGATAAGAGATCACTGCATTACTCCCCTTACTGGCACACAGTCTTTCGTCGATCAAGAAGTTGATCTGCTGGAGGACGGCCTCGCAATTGACACCAAAGATGCTGCCCTTACGGAGGACCAAAAAGTAGACAGGCCCTGGCTACATCGGGTCATAGGGAAGGTGCACCTGCTGAGTGTAGTCAAATGAATAGTGCATGGCTATGTTCCGGCTCTTCTGCTCATGGAGAGCGAGACTGATGATGCCTTGAGAGGCAGCTGCTAGCGGTGGACTATCCACCAGACTTGTATGAGCTACGCTCCTGCGTAACTGCGAAAAGATGCTGTCCCTGGCGGTCCAGAAGTTTGCTCTTCTCCTCCACCGATAGGCGACCAGACCTCTGGATTAGCCGTTTAGAGAATCGAGGCTCAAAGTAAACGGGATTGAAAGTTATTTGCCAAGAAATCTAGGGGTTAATCTACGATCGTTAAAGCATGCAGCACAATGTTAAGATCGGTAAATGGCACTAACACCTACACAGACATCATACGTATGCACATAATAATATGCAGTTCTACATTTACTAAAAAGTAGCAGAGTAGATCATTCAAGCAAAATATTGCATACACTTTTTCTTACTAATAAGGAAAAAATTGAGACTCAAACCCTTCGGCCTCAGAATCCTTGAGGACCTAAAAAACTTACACTTTTCCAAACAAGACGTACAACAAATTCTTTTCCCCGACCTCCCTCCGTGGCACCTCACCAAGGCAAAAGTAGACTTACAACTGACCACGCACAACAAAGAAAGCACAAACACCAAAACTTTTAAAGCAGATTACAAAAAACTAATAGATAAATACCCGGGTGCGGAGCTCATCTTCTGAAGTGGGCGCCGCAGCCCAATCTCCCAACAATACACACCAGAGGAGACTCCATCCTGAAGCCTCCATTTTCACTGCGGAGGCCACTGCCATTGGCATGGCACTGGACTCTGTAGAAAATTCTCCTAACAAATCTTTCCTTATCCTTTCTGACTCTCTGTCTTGCATCACCTCACTCACAAACTACACACTCTTACATCCAAAAATAGTTAGGCTACAACAGAAAATTCATACACTGTCCGAAACCCTATACTAATACCCCCCAAAAAAAATTTTTTAAAATTATTTTTTCGTGCATCAATTTTCTTCATCGTATTAAGGAGTAAAAGTGAAAGAATGAGTTCACAATCAATACAAGTAAGTAAAATTTTTGACTTGAGAGACACACATACTAGTGCAGAAAGGACTTCTGTAACGAGTGACCCCCCCCCCAAAAAAAACCAAACAAACAACAACAACCAAAAACCAACCAACAAACAAAACAACACACACATAGAGGGTATAGAAGGATATCTAAAAATCTAGGTCGTTCTGCTTCTAGTGGTGACATAAAGAAGAACAGCAATTTTGCCACACTAGAAATTGCATATTATTCCTAAAATCTTGAGGAAGATATGAGAATTTAGTTGACTTTGGGTTACAACTCACCAGAGGAATGAGGAGTTGGAATTTCCTCCCTACTCGTAGTAGTAGGAGTAGCTGTAGATCTAGTAGTAGACGATGATGGGCGTGGCCGCAGTGGGAGTGGCAAACTGACCTCTTCTCCTTCACTCTCCGAGCCTTCAACATCACTGTCAATATCTCTTGTAATAAAATAATCTTCAATAACACTGATTAAATCGCTATTTGGGGCAACGTGAGACAAGTTCATCGGTCCGAGGTCGTTCAAAATGTCTGCGATTTCTTTCTCTCTCGCTCTGCTGGCAGCCATTTTGAAAGCGGTTGGTAATATAAACAAGACTGGACTGTGTCCAACAAAAAGTAAAAAACACACTAGACCAGCCTAGAAATTTAGATTTTAACTGTTGAGATGACACAAATAAACAATAACCTTTAATTGTCACCACATTTCACGGCACTGGAACCACACGAATAAAAGATAAAAGCAAAAAAAGTAGCACAAATGAACAACGACTGGCTTGTATTGGCTTTCATAACAGGGTCCTGATGCGCAGATTGTTTAGTGAGGTCAGTGTGACTTGTATTAATGCGCACGACATTCAGAGGAAACCCCATTGAGAGACCTTTAAAATGGTATGCAATTTGGGGGTATTGTCTGGCCTCCTTTTGGGTTTAAAGAAGTCCCAAAGTAATAAGAAAATTACGCAAATAGTTCACATAATTGTGAGTGATTGTGAACACCCATGTCTTTTAAAAAATTATTTTAAAATACTTTTAGGCGTTATTAAACACCAACAGGCCTTGAAAATGTTTAAAAAATGGTTAAACTAGAAGTTCCAATCAAGAACTCATTTTTCATCAGATGACGAATTTTGACCTTTATAGCGGATTTACACAAAATGATACCCCCAGTGGGTCGGGGGGATATAAAT